ACCCCCTCACCCCCTGACACACACACACACACACACACACACACACACTCACTGACACATACACACACTCACTGACACTGACATACTTTCACAGACACACACACACACACACTCACTCACTCACTCACTCACTCACTGACACACACACTCACTGACACACTTTCACAGACAGACACAGACACACACACACCTGAAGCGTGAGGCGTTTGACAGCGTTCCAGGTGTGTGTTATCAGGTTCTTCATGTGCTCCTCTGGACTCACGTGACATTCTTCAGATGATGGAAAAACTTTCACTGGAACAGAGAGAGGCCTCGACTCTATACACACGCGCGCACGCACACACACACGTGCACACGTGCACACACACACACACACACACAACACACACACACCCACATACAGACACCCACACACACACACACACACACACACACACACACACACACACACACTCACTGACACATACACACACTCACTGACACTGACATACTTTCACAGACACACACACACACACACTCACTCACTCACTCACTCACTCACTGACACACACACTCACTGACACACTTTCACAGACAGACACAGACACACACACACCTGAAGCGTGAGGCGTTTGACAGCGTTCCAGGTGTGTGTTATCAGGTTCTTCATGTGCTCCTCTGGACTCACGTGACATTCTTCAGATGATGGAAAAACTTTCACTGGAACAGAGAGAGGCCTCGACTCTATACACACGCGCGCACGCACACACACACGCGCACACGTGCACACACACACACACACACACACACACACACACACACAGTGTTAATGCAGACAGATTCAGATTGTTCTTCATTGTTCATAACACACGCAATCATGTGTGTGCGTGTGTGTGTGTGTGCGTGAGTGTGAGTGAGTGTGTGAGAGAGTGTGTGTGTGTGTGCACGTGCGTGTGAGTGTGAGTGAGTGTGTCAGTGAGTGTGTGTGTGTGTGTGTGTGTACAGATAATGCACATACAAATCAAACAATTATTTACAGGAAGAAAAGAGAAGGAAGTCAAGTTAAGACCAGCTTTAGTGTGTGTGTGCAGATCGGTGTTGTGTTTCTGTTAATGAAAACCACACTGCAGTAACGCATCGACTCCGAGAGGCTTTTGATTACACTGGGAAATGATCAACATCTGCAGTGTGAAGGTCAAAGCATCTCCAGCAGCTCCTGCAGACAAGAAACATGCGAACCAGCCCAAAGCTCCCACACAACACCTCATGAAGCAGCAGAGCGACTCTCCAACGCTCCTCAAATGCTCTAACATGGGTATTTATGATCAAAATGCTACTTTTTTTTTTTAAAGAGCTCTGGGTTTGCCGTGTTTGTTTGTAGGTCTGTACAATTTGGCCAAAAATTCATATTGTGTTTATATATCTACACGACTACAAAATAATGAAATATATATACACACACACACACACACACACACACACACATATATATGTATATATATAAAATATAAAATAAATAAAAGTTCTTATTATTTGAAAAATATTAAACAAATGAAGAAATATATTACAACTGCAATTATGCTATTCCATTTTAAAATATTTAATAAAATCAGTTTATTAATAATTTTATTTTACAGTATAACTATAAAATCACAATACTAATATTTATGTCCTAGTTTCTTCAATTTCAAAACATTAAACAAACATTTTTATGACCACTCCTTATTACTAACCTAGTGAAATGGGTTAATTGAGAAACTGAGAACACTCATCTCACACTCATGCAAATGACACGATGTTTCACTAGTTTTACATCTTTCTTTTTTGGTTCAACATTTAAAATATAGAACTGATATGTTCACATGTACAGATATGTAGATACAGCGGCGTCCTACAGAAGCCAGATCTGTGGAGAAGAGCTCGAATCGGGTATTTTAGACAGAAATATCCTTGGTTCAAGTGGAAAGACAAGAGGTTAGGCATATAGCAAGTATTAAACAAATAAAACACACCAAAGGGAATTCTCTGGTAAAACTACTGGCGTAGGATCTGAAAAGTGGTTGGGGACACATTTTAAATCTCATCAGCCTCTCTTCACAATACAAAGCAGTTTCAAATGGCTTTTTAACAAGATGCACATGGGATATCAAATGAACGTCTAATAAACTTCAGCAAATGAAGCTTTTTTTAAACAGAACTTTGAAAACTAAACTAATGTTGCAAGCATGCCTGACTGAAAATGCATTGTTTCTTATTAGACAGAACTTGAATGAACATACGGACACTGAACAAATGTTGTCTCTCGTTGTGTGAGGCTTCCTGCGTATGATCTGCACGTCTGTAATAGTGTGTGTGTGTGTGTGTATATGTATGAGTGTGTGTGTGTGTGTGTGTGTGTGTGTGTATGTATGAGTGTGTGTGTGTATGTATGAGTGTGTGTGTGTGTGTACCTGTCACAGTCTTGGTCTTCACAGGACTGCTGGTGTAGTCTGATGCCTGATTACTGGGTTGTTTGGTTAGTGGTGTGCTGCCAACAGATGCTTCATCCTCCCTCCTCTTCTTCATCACCATGGAAACCTGCAAGCATCACCCAGCATCAGCGACTTCACACACAAACACATACACACACACACACACACACACTCACTCACTCACTCACTCATACACACACACACACACACACACACACAC